ATGGGCTTGGGAGGAGCCCCTGGATCCTTTCTTTTACCAGTTCTGTCTATGTGAAGATAAGTCAAAGGTCCTGTTCAACCATGGCTGGCTTTGCTTAGAAACATGGCGGAAATGTTACTCTGTTTGACCTTCTTCTTTGCAGACTGGACACTGGTTCAGGTTATCCAGTGGTGTCTCCATGGCCTCCTTGATCAAGAGGACAGGTGATTCACCACAGCTAGAGAACATTTTGAGAGATGCTCACAGTCCCCTGTAAGTTAGGGGGACAAGGAGCAAAAACTGTCCTTTATGTCCCTCTGACCAAATTAGTATATGCCTCAAAATATGGCTGTTAAACATCCAAGAAGATTAGTTCCACCAGTCTAGTACTTTTAATTACCATATGCCATGTAGATAGATCTTGGGCAAAGGCAAAATGCTCTCAGATAAACCTTACCTAGACAAATATTACATTCTTTGATCTGGTTTTAGATATAATTTGTCAGTAGTTTGTAGGAGTAATATGGTTCCCGCTGGTTTTCTAAAACTAGCTAGGCATTATTTATCTATCACATTGTCTAACCCTTCCAACATGGTTTTCACATTTAACATGTCCCCATTTTTCCCATTTCTCCCTTAATAACACCCTTCTCCTATGGTCCCACTACCCTTCTCCCATGATCCTACCCCCCTTGAGCTCCTTCTTTCCCTTTATCCCCTAGGTTCCTTGTATAATCTAATCCCTAGGCTCCTTGTATAATCTTCCCTCCCCTCCCCTTAAAATAACCCCAGTTTTATCTGTATCTCCCTGTTTCCTACTGTTCTTCTCTATCAGTTTCTTTCTTTGCCTTTATCTCCATGGTTCCTTTTCATTATCCAAATTCCTGTAGTTATGTCTGGATACATACTTATATGGATTTGGTGCTAGGATCCACATATGAGGGAGAACATATATAGGTTTTTTTTTGTTTGTTTGTTCGTTTTGAATCTGTGTTACTTCACTTAGTATAACAATTTCTATTTCTGTCTGTTCACCTGAAAATTTCATGATTTCATCTTTCTTTACTGCTGAGTAAAACTCCATCGTATAAATGAACCACATTTTCATTATCCACTAGTCAGTTGAGAGACACTTAGGTTGCTTCATCTTTTAGCTATTGTGAAAAGAGCAGCAACAAGCATGGATGTACAAGTCTCTTTGTGAAAGGATGAGTTCTTTGGGTATATGCCAAGGAGTGGTATAACTGGGTAAAACGGTACAAGTATCTCGGCAATAGGATGAGTTCTTCAGGTATATGCTAAGGAGTGGTCTAACTGGGTCAAATGGTAGGCTCATTTGTAGTTTTTTTAAGAGCTCTCCACACTGTTTTCCATGGCAGTTGAACAAGTTTGCAGTCCCATCAGGAGTGGATGAGTGTTCCCCTTTCTCTACATCCTCTCCAACATTTGGTATCATTTGTTCTCTTGATCTTGGCCAGTCTGACTGGGGTAGGATGAAATGTTAAAGTGGTTTTAATTTGCATTTCCCTAATTGTTAGTGATGTTGAACATCTTTTAAAATGTTTCACAGCCATCTTTACTTCTTCTTTTGAGAACTCTCTGTTCAGCTCCTTAGTCCATCTTTTAATTGGGTTGCTTCTTGTCTTGGTTCTCTGTTCTTTGACTTCGTTATAAACTCTGGTTATTAAATCTCTGTCGGATGTGTCTCTGGTAAATAATTTCTCCCATTCTGTGGGTTTTCTGTTTGCTTCCTTGATTGTCTCCTTTGATGTACAGAAGCTTTTTAGTTTAATGATGTCCCATTTGTTAATTCTTACCCTTG